CCTCAGACCTCTTGTTACAAATGAGGATTGCTTTAAGGAATTAGTTGTACAAGATGCGTGAGCAGTCATAAGACTGGAAATATTAAATTCCCAAGGGGAGGAATCATGAAGGATCATGTCTCAGTCAGGAATGCTTTCAGCTGCTGGCAACAAAAAAATTCTGTGCAGAAAAGTTTAAACGAATAGGAGGAGAGAGTTTGTAAGGCAGTTGTCAGTGCTGATATCTTGATGATTCTCCAGGGGCTTTTGCTCATGGCTGTACATTAGCTGCCGCAGCTCCATCACAAGATTTCGTGATTAAACCCTGAAGGAGGAGGGAGTGGCAATGCCTGTATCAGGAAAGTAAAGGCTTTTCCAGGAATCTCACCACAAGACTCTGCTTCTATTGCGTAACAACCCAGAAGGAGGTCAGGAGAGAGGACTGAAAATGGGAGGTGGGTCAGCCAACCCAAAGTGTCTGCTGGCAGCGTCCCCAGCAGTATCAATCGTAAAAATGGCCCTCCAGCAGGAGATGTTTGCGTCTACTGATAAAGAAAGGAGACAGCCAGCGCAGTCTCATAAGTTCAGATTCCGGCCCTTGTGGGTACTCTGTGTTCCTTCCTTAACATTTCCTCTAGAGAGCAGAGCCCAGGGAATGCCAGCCCACAGCCATCTTGGTTGCTGGTATAGCTGTGAGTGGTAAGTGTGGGGAGTTTCTCTGAACGCGTTTTGAAGGCGAGTACAGCACTTAGAATCAGCCTTACTTCTCTAGCTGTGGAAAGTAGAATTAATCAAACTGGAAGCACCTCTGATTTGGAAGGGAAAACTATAAATTTATTTTAACCTCCAATCTGATTGGATTTCTGACAGTTTTATATGGCATCTGCTTTAATAGCTCTGGCAACAAGGAGCTTACTACCTCACAGGGCCCCATCACTACTTTGTTGTAACAACTTTTAAAAAGTTTTCATATTGAACTGAAGCTGGCAGTCTCTTAAATTCCAACTATCGAGCCTAGGTATTTTTTTCTAGAGCTAAATTGGGATAAATCCCTATTTCTCATGACATCCCACAAATATTTGAAGTCATCTTCCATGTTCACACTTTGGCCACCTTGTCTTGTTTTTAAGCTAGTTGTAATTTAGTATATTGCTTATCCTTTTATACTACAGTTTGACAGTGTCCTTCTTAAATTAAAAAAAAATGTCCTGACACCCAGGAAGAGCACACTACAGATGTGATAATAATATAGGCTGATTCCTTTTCTTTCTATACTACATTTTTGTGGCCCAAGATTACATCAGTTCATGTGAACTGTTGCTCAGTTAGTATAATGTCAATTGCAGAGCTCTAGGGCCTGACTCCAGACACCTTCCTTAAGGTTGACCCAATCTTTTAAGTATTTCATGTCTGCTATGTTCAAAGGCACTTAAGGACAATTTTTTTCCATCCTCAAACTCTTCAATTTATACAATCATCTATCCCAAGGCTCTATTTGCTTGTATTTATACCATCAAACATCTTGTCATATGTCTTGTTGAAATCCATTACACTATATTAATATATTTCCCCTATAAATGAATATTTTTGATAAATAAGGGAACAAAGTGTAGAAAATTTCAATGAAACTACGCAAAAATCCATTAATGTATAAGAATTCTAGAAGTTCTTCAAGATTACTGATTAGAATCTTGAGATTAAATATGCTATCAAAATGACTAAGTATTTAAACAGCAACAACAACAAAATGACATATTTAGCTGGAAAATTTAAAGGAATTATCCCGGAAATATTCCCCTTTTTTTTCCAAAAAATATAAATTTAGTCAGAGTGAAAAGAATTTTAACATATTGAGTGTAGCAGGTGTGGTATAAATGAGAAATGAAGACAAAAAGAATCTTCCAGGGGCTCTAATGTGAAAGCTGTGTCTTGAAAGACAGAAAACACTCACTTGATAATCATGGTATGCAGGGCATATTAAAAGAAAAGAACAGAGAGCAGAGAGAGTAAGCAAACTATTTGTTAACATTTTTAGAGAAGAAGTTGTTAAGAGTCTTCTCACTCCCAATTTGCTTTTTGAAGTATACAGGTAGGAGGCGCTTAAGCAAACAATGGCAAATGCCCAGGCTATTCTGGAAATTATGAACAAACTAAGTGTAGTTAAATGTGTGAGACCAGATGGTAGCTACCTGGAAATTTTAAATTAACCCAAGGAGAAAATTGTTGAATTGTCAGCCACAATGCAAAAAACCTTTCTTTATAACTATAATAATGCTAGGGAAGGAGAGATCACCAATAAGACCCTCAACAAGAGCAGAGTCTCCCCAGGAGACTGTGGAAACTATATCCAGGGCATTATTGTCAAAGCTTGGGCCACTGCACACATTAAAACTTCTAATATAATACGACCTTATTTCTGAAGAGGGCATCATGCTGGCCCAATGAGTACATGGAGAGAATAAACGAAACAAATCCATTCATTCAGCAGTTACTGAGTCCCTATTAGGTTAGATACTGGGGAAAAAAGTACATTTCAAAATATTCCCAAACTCAGGGACCTCAATTCGATACCTGGAGAAAAAAAGCAAACTGATATAATTGTACTTAAATCTTCATGGATTTTCAGGACTTATGCTTGCATTCCCTACCACAGCTATGCCTAGGAGTGGTGGAATCAAGATGCATCACTTTGTGTACCGTTCACTTAATTATGGCCAAAGTTAAATCAGTTGAAATTGGTCAGGAAGACATGCATACTCAGGACTAAAAGTTAAAACATTAAGAAAAGGTGTAAGCAGAAGTCTTAGTGATAAAAAAGACTCACAGAACGATGAAGGGCTATCACCATATGGCAGCAATCAGCTTAAAGGAGTATGTGATAGAGTGGACGAGGGAATGAGTTACCTCAATACAGGAGAGAGCAGCTAAGCTGATCTCCTCTAGGTTTCTATCCTCTCTCTCTGTCCACATAGGCTAGAGATGTTTCTGAGATAGTAGGATTATTTACTTCCAGAAAGTGCCAACTATCGTCATAGGGAAGATTTCTAAACAGAACTCTGATATTAGTAAAACAAGCCAAGAATGTGAGAAACTCTAACTCCATTAGCTGAGACTAATGAGAAAAATATATTGAAAAATTGAAAATGCAGCTGTCTCTGAGAACAAGGAGCTGACTGCATGCATAAAGGGCAGCAATATTCAAGTTGGCCTGCCCTACCTGCTCACCGAGCTGTTGACACACAAGCAGAGCTCAGACGTGGAATAACACATGATATGCATATGTGGTTTTGTGAACCAGCTCCTGTTCGAGTTACAAATAATGTTGGCTAAAGGGATCAGTCTGGCAGTGATATGATTGCCTCCTTCTGATTCCATTTGGCATAAACCTGTGAGGATTTTTAAGTGGCCAGATGTTTTAATCTTGTGTCTTTCTTGAAACAAAGAGAAAAAATAGTGGAGATCTGGGTTGTGATTTGGGGATCTGCTGTGGTGTGTGTGTGTGTGTCTGTGTGTGTGTCTCTGTGTGTGTGAGAGAGAGAATAGACAGTCACAGAAGGGCATTTGACACAGTGGATACATGGACATTAAGATACCATGTAATGTCCACAGATACCATGGACATTAAGATGCTGTCGTTTTGATGCTGCAATTCTGAAGGATAAAACCCAAACTCTTTAGCACCAACAAAAAATTAGCACAAGGGTTTACATCAGTTTCATTCATTATTTAACGTGAAACTGTTTATGCCTCTTACACAAAGTCTCATACTCATCCTAGCTGTCACTGGTCATTAGAATGACTGTTACCATCTTTAGTCTAATAAAAAAGGAAAGAATGAATGAACTACCTCCAGAATTAGATTGGGTCTCCCTGTTACTCACTCTCACAGCGTGTTGTACTTTTCCCTTTTAGTATTTATCACAATTGAATTGAATAATTATTCGTGAAATGTCTATATCTCTTATATTAGCTTTGAAGCTCCAGGATGGGCTAAGACTTTTTCGCTGCTATATCCTAGCACCTAGCACAGGGTCTGGCCCATAATGAATCCTCAAATATTTGTGAATGAATGAATATCAGTGATGAAGTGAGGGGAGGTCAGGTGATATGCAGCTCAGGAATAAGATGAGGGTCAGAGGTGGGTTCAAGGATCAGGAGTCTTCAGTAACAGGGTGAGGGGCACCTGTTATAAACATGACTTGATAACACGAATAAAATGAAACACCCATTTATTTTAGAGTCATTGATTTTTAGAATCAAAGTATATATTGAATCATGTTTTTTATATTTTCATGTCCAAATTCCAAAGTATATCTTTTCTATTCTCTGTGTTGATATGTTGATAGCCTTTTCTGGTAGCGATTACTTGAAGATGTTCACTTTGTGATAATTTATTGAGCCGTTCATTTTTGATACGTGCACTTTGCTGCATGTATTATGTGTCAATATATCACTTTAAAAGATGTTGATATTTAATTAACATATACCCATTTACAACTAGTCCTTTGCAAAGCTCTGACTTTTTATTCAAATTTAAGATCTCTAAAGAAAGTCCATCCATCCTTGAATTGCACAAATTTGAAGTATTCCAATAGTTTATTTTTTTATTTCAATATAATGTTTATTTGGTCTAGTATCTAAGAAAACATTGAAGTTCCACTTGAAAGATCCTTCCAGCTCCAATACTCTGAGTTATCTTCCTTCTCAGCTGGAACCCTCTGATGAACAAGGGCAACCATCCATGGCGCACAGTAAGCATCATGCCTGTGGCCATAATCCCTTTGGGGCTCATAAAAACGTTTGAAGTTTTTTTAAATCAGAAGAAAAAAAAGAATGTTTAGGTTGAAGAAAACATTTTAATATATAATATTGACATATTTGTCTTTCTATCAGTTGAAATATATTTTTTAATATTTTTACAGAGAAAGAGACCCACAGAAGCAAAAGTGCCTAGCACCTATAAAAGTCACAATGTTGGCCCTGGGATGAAATTAAGTAGATAGCCCAGGCCTACTTTTTTTTTTTTTTTAATTTTTTGTTTATTGCAGTAACATTGGTTCACAACACTGTACAAATCTCAGGTGCACATCACTACACTTCCACCCCTGCATAGACCACATCATGTCCACCACCCAAACACCAACTACAACCCATCACCACACACATGTGCCGAATTATCCCTTTCGCCCTCCTCCCACCCCCCTTCCCCTCTGAGAAACTTATGATCTTGGAGGGATGAAATCCACTGGCTCTTCTCCAATTTAGGTCACACACCAACCCAATCTATAATAGTTATTTTTTCATTTATATAACTGTAAATCAGTCTATCTCTTTAAACAGAAAATTTCAGTAAAGACCATGACTTCTATTTTGTTAAAATCTTAAAATTCTTTTCAGAGCTAAAGACTGAACTTGCCCTGATGCCGTGACAGTGAAGAACGTTTAAAAAATGCATTAACCATAATTCTCTTTGTGATTGATTTCGTCTATTATTTTTTCCCTTTTCTATATGTCTCACCTACATTTTTCCCTATTAATAAAATACAATACATTTGAGTTTATGTATATGTGAACTTCTTACACGTAGCAATTTCAGTAAATCCATTCTTTAAGTTGCGGCTGTGATGATTCTCTCTCTCTCTTTCTCTCTCGTCTTGTCCTACCTCCACTGGATGAGAGGTATGGCAACTCTATGTTGTAATGATCTAAACAATAGTTGCAAATGAAAACAGAGGACAGGCATAGGGTCCAGCAGGACGTCAAAAGGAAGCCACAAATCACAATCATAATTGAAGGGTATTCCTCATCATATATCCACTTGACCTTCATTCAAAAAATATTAATATTTTAGTGCTCTCTGTATGCCAAGAATGTTAATTATGTCTATTGGAATGGGAAGTTTTCAATATCTGGTTCATTTCCTTCACCAATACCTGCTAAAAGTAGGGCCCAATCAAAAGTCCTAGGAGATTACACTGCATTGAAGGTAGAGACAGCTATTTTGAAAAGAAGCGGTGTTACTCAGTGACTGGCAAATTAACAAGGCATGCCGAATTAACAAGGCATGCCGTAGATGAGAAATATTTACTCACTATGGACAATTTTGAATAGTCTAAAATAATCATAGACTGCTTTAAGCTAGTAGGCAGTGCTTGAAAGAAAGCCTTAGAGATTTGGATGTCTGACTGGTTAACATTGCCATAAGGATTTGGAATGAAATAGATGGGAAATCTAGGACATGATACTTTTGTAAAATGGGCTCCAATAACTGGCTAATGCTGTTTAATATACCATTACTGCTGAGATGGTTCTTTTAAAATTGAATTTTAACTATAGAATAAGGAATTTCTTTTCCATGTAATGTGGGCATTCGATTCTTGCTCTTGAATGGAGGATACTCATTTAATCTTAACCTTAATTTAGACCCCAAAATTTACAATTATGCATCATGAATTTTAAATATTTATGGATGATTTTTCCAGACTTGTCAATACTTTCAAAATTCAGAAGTCCAGAGGAGTCTATAGTCCCACCAGACCAAACATTGAAATATATGTTAATATCTATATCTATTTCACAATTACTACTTACTTTCCCTAAGGTCATTTTAATGATCTTAAGCTTATATTTGTCCTTGGAAATGCTGAATGATCTTCTCCAGGCTCCCAAAGCATGTTCTGAATTTGGCTGCATATTTTTGCCTAGTGGGACCAGTTTGAATTCTGTGAATCAAATTTTAATTAAAATAAATTAGCTTGACTGTAGGCTTTCTGATGTTCTCAGTTGCATAGTTTTAATTATTCAGATTAAGTAAAGAGCTGAGTCAAGGAAAAGCTGCTAAAGAAGATAGATGCTTTTCTTGAACAAAACAGAAATATAAGGAACTGGGAGAACTCAGAGCCAAAGCCGAAGATGTCTAGTTCATCTGACTCTGGATTAAACAAGCATGATTTTAAGCTAGGGCTAAATGTTGGATGCCTCTTTCTCCTAAAAAGAAAGTGGTAGAATAGAGTGTTTTTCCCCTTCCTTTAGTCCCAGCACCTACTACAAACAGAGAACAAAAAGTAGCAATTAGGAATGTAATCCAAGGCAGAGGAAGAAAAGACTGTGTTAGCATCATAGGAGATCATCTGGAGGCCCAAAGTTGGAGGTTCGAGTATTTCGATAGTCCGTTGGCAAGACTCGTGATCCCTGCCTTGCTCTACCTTCTTCAGCCAAGGTGGAACTGAACGGAGCAAGTCACGGAAAACTACGCCAGAGGCTGAGGAGAAAATGTGGAAATCTGAGGAAGATAAACAAAGCATTAACGGATGAAAAAGGAGGGGGGAAAAAGAGTCCAAAAAGGTGGGTTTGTTCCCTAGGAGTCACAAGAGAGACATCCTTGTGAGGTATCCAGTGCCTTTTCCAGAACACCCTGGTCTTCTGGTGAACTGAGAATAATTTGAAAAGAATAAAGGAGCCACTTCCAGACTCCACAGCATCATTTCCCTACCTCACCAATGCCACACACTTCCTATGCACCTGGTAGGAGTTAGAAATGTGATTCTTGAGGTGAATTAAAGATTTGTGTACCCTTCTAACTCCACGTGTGTGCATAACTAGCAAACAGGAAAAGTACTTTAACAATCGACCCTACTAGCACTCTCTTCCAACTTTAAGGGGTAGTGCTAACATAAACTAATTTCAAGCTATCCTGTTTAGCCTAAACAGTCCAAGGGGAAGGATAAATAGCCCGCTTTTCTTCTTTCCATATACAATCTCAAGTCTTTCTGGAAAGATGTTATTTCCATGCCAGAGTCTAGGTATTTTGGAGAAAATACATACATATAATCATTTCAGGGGCTCTAAGATACAGGTGCAGAGGAACTACTAATTCCAGGATAGCAAGAGGAACTCCTTGGACCAGTGAAGGAGCTAGAGAAGCAAGGACTCAGAGTTTATGAGTTGTGGCACATTTTTTTGTTGGCTGCAGAGGATTAAAAATATTCCCTGGGGTGGATTTACCTCTCCCTTGGTGTATACTTACAGTAACACTGCAGGAAGGAGGAACTTTGGCTTGGATGTGTAACACAGATACTGCACAGGATACTAGGATACGAAACAGAAACCTCTGGAGCTCTCCCACCACAACACAGTTATAAATAAGTAACTGTGCTGGGACCCAGAAGGAGAGATTAGAATCAGAACTGAGATTTGAGAGTAAGAGGAACTGGATCATCCATCCAACTGACTCTCCCTTTAAAGGGCCAATTTGGTCTAATACGAAGACATAGGTCCTGCAGATGAGTTGTAGATGTTGGAAGCTAAATAAGCTCGTGCCAGCTACAGCCATCCTGGGCCTGGTATTATTTCTAATATTAGGATGATATTTCAAATCTTGATTGGATGAGATCGCTGACCAGGAAAATGCATTCTTTTCTTTATTTTTTCTAACTGCATTTATTTTTTGAATAGGTAATTTATTCTCAAATTTCAACCCTCAAAACACACAAAGAACATAGAACGAAATCTCTCCCTCCTATCCCTGTCCCCCAGCCATCCATTTCCTTTCCTTTGAGGCCACTGGTCTTATCAGTTTCCCATGTATCTCGCCAGAGATGTTTTATACTTACATAAGCAAATATTTCTTAGTCTCACTTTTTTTGCATAAATATTCATATACGACACACGCTGTAGTGTATGTATTTTGCTTTGATAACATATGTATCTTGAAAGTCATTTCATTTCAATACATAAAAAGCTTCCCCATTATTTTTCACTGACGGCATGTTGTTCCATTGTACGAATGTACCATTCCTTATTTCATTTCTCTTATATTGGCTGACATTTAAGTTGCTTCCAGTTTTTTGCTGTCACAGCCATAATGCTTTAATGAATATTCTTTTACACATATCATTTTTTTTTAAATTTTTTGTTTATTGCAGTAACATCGGTTTATGACATTGTAAAAATTTCAGGTGTACATCATTGTACTTCTATTTCTGCATAGATTACATCATGTTCACCACCAAAATACTAATTACAACCCATCACCACACACATGTACCGAATTATCCCTTTCACCCTCCTCCCTCCCCCCTTCCCCTCTGGTAACCACCAATCCAATCTCTGTCCCTATGTGTTTGTTTGTTGTTGTTATTATCTACTACTTAATGAAGGAACTCGTACGGTATTTGACCTTCTCCCTCTGACTTATTTCACTTTGCATTATACCCTCAATGTCCATCCATGTTGTCACAAATGCCTGGATTTCATCGTTTCTTATGGCTGAGTAGTATTCCATTGTGTATATATACCACAGCTTCTTTATCCATTCGTCCCTTGATGGGCACTTAGGTTGCTTCCAAGTCTTGGATCATTTTGCACAGTGCAAGTACACCTGTAAAATAAATTTCTAGAAAGGGAAATGCTCGGTTATAGTATAAATGCATTTGTAATTTTGATAGCTATTGCCAAATTGCATAGGAGTTGTAACAATTTACACTACATCCCTCATTAACATAATGTTATTAAACGTTTTGATATTGCTGGTCTTGTATATGAAAAATACCATCTCAGTTTGGATGTATTTTGCATTTCTCTCATTGTGAATGAGTGTGAGTATCTTTTCCTATGTATAACAATACTTGTATGTCTATTGCTGGGACGTATTATGCCATCCAAATAAAAAATTAATGTGTATATCATTCTTATTCAGGTTATGGGATCACTTTTCTGGTTAATCCAGTCACCATTAGTAGTCTTGTGCAGAATATACAATATAGAAAGTATTTCAAAATAAATTATTAAGACCACACCACTCAAGTTTGCGCCTTTAGTTCTGGAGTATGGTTTTTTCCTTTTTTATTAAATTGTAACAAGTCTACAGAAAAGTGCACAAACAAATAAAATATAACTATCATCTCTGAAGGCCTCCTCATGCCTCCACCTAATTTCTAGCCTCTGCCTCCTCTGCAAAGACAAACTGACTTCTAACACTACAGATTACTTTCCCCTGGCTGTGCGCTTTATAAATGGGATTGTGCACATGTATTCTTTTCTATCTGGTTTCTTTTGTTCAATATTGTGTTTATGAGTTTCCTCCATGCTGTTTCGTGTTCTTGTAGCTTGTTTATTTTATTTTAAGGTGTAATTTTATCAATAGCGTCTCAAATATGTGTAAATAAGTGAGACCTGCTGAGAATGGTACAATAGCCACTTGTGAAGCCACGAGAGTGCCAGTTCATTTTTGATCTTCTAATCAATAAACTATCTCAGCACTGTGCTTACATATGCACTCATCTACAGTAAGTTGTTTTACTCCTCTGTTTGGGAATCTAAAATCATGGTCACTGCAGCGTAGATAGAAATATCTGGCTTTGTTTTAAGAGACTGTTATTGCATATTCAACTACCCTTCTATGAGAAAAGATTTGGCAATTCTAGCAATTGCTCAAGAAATGAGTGGCAACTTAATTAAAGCATCTAATGTTAATATCAGTAACCCTGAGAGGACCACACCTTCAAAGTTACAGAGACCCTAATTAATAGTGCAACTTTTATAACTAGAGGAAATGTTGCTTTTCAGAATGGAGTTAACAGTATTCGGGTAGAAACTTCTGTGAGCCGGGAGTATCACTTTTGGACTCAATGGGCTGAGAAAAAACAGGACCTGCTTCAGTTTGTCAATTACCTTAATCTGTATCTTAGGTTAATATAAAATGAAAAGGACATAGAGGTGGACATTAAATGAACACAACAATGAAACAAACGTATTTGACACATTAGTAGGCAATTTAAAACTTGTGAATGGAGAAACCTAAGCTGCTGAGGGAAATGCGGTCTTGCCTAGCAACTGGCAGCCTTGCTGTGGTTGGGTGGGGTGCCTATTTTTAGTTGTCTTCTGTTACTGAGCCAGATGAATGCCACCCCCTTCTTTCATTTTGGTTTGGATAATGGCCAAATACCAGGATTTACTATTCCTTAAATAGTATAGCTCCCATCTGTTCACAATCAATAGGAAAAAATTGAAATATGGACTATGCTGTGGTCTCTTGGCCATTCCTGCCACATTAGACTGAGGTTTAAGCTCTTTGTCGTGTGACTTTGCTTCCTTCTTTTTTGAGCATATGGTATGGATAAAACACCAATAAGACGGTGTGGTATAGCAGGGCTTAATCCAGGTTTTCTCCATAAAATAATTTATATAATTCACAGCAAGGGAAGTAAAACAAGAGCATAGGCTATTTTTTAGTGTTTCTGTCATTCACAGTATTCTGAGAATTTTTGCATGTAGCTGTTTTGTGCTCTCTCTATTAGAGAGTAGAAGACTGTCTCTCAGTGCCCCGAGTGAGAAAGGAAAAATGATCACTGGCTATGGTATAGTCAGCTTTCTCTAGATTCTGCTAGGGTAACAAACAATCCCAAAATATCAGTGACTTACAAGAACAAAGTTTATTTCTTGCCCACATTACATGTTGTCCTGAGGTCAGCTATGGCTCTGCTCTATGTGCCTTCCCTGTTCTAAATTCTAGGACAAAGGAATAGCCTCTACCTGGAGCACGCCATTCTCATGGCAGAGGGAGAGGAACAACGACAGAACCTTGAAATGGATCTTAAATTTCTGCTCAGAGGTGGTGTACATCACCTATGCTCACATTCCGCTGGCTAAAGCAAATCATGACAAGTCTGACAGCTAAAGGGCGGGAAGAATAGTACTCTTACAGGAGGAATACCAAAAAGAGCCCCAGTGGACACGGGCCTGATAGAAACTATCAGTTTCAATGTTCAAAACTAACATTTTGAAAAAAATAATAAAATCTACTAGAGCCAATATCCCTGTCAATCTTCTTGGTCATAAAAGAAAAAGACAGTTTATCTCAAGAGGGAGATGCTGTGGTGGGTACTATCATAGATTTTGACCGTAAAAGATCCTTTTTTGTCCGCTCTCACCTGAAACAGGTGGTTGGTGAGACAGTGAGGACATTTTAACTGAATTCTGATTGAATCTTTAAAACAAGGAGAATGAGCTGATAAGTTGAATCCTGAGAAGCCAGTGAGAGAAGAATCAAATTACTACGTATTTTTACTTGAGAAGAAAATAAAGGGACTTGGTTGGAAAACCCTTCTGACTGACATCTACCTTTTATGGCTGAACCTTTCACTTGCTTCCCTGTAGGAATAACTTAAAAATTAATTTGAACCCTCACAAGAAACAAACATCTGCTCCTCCATTTTTTAAAATCCCTTTATCTAATACTCCCCTTGACAGAATATTTGTACATCCACAGCTTCTGGGCTTTACTCTTAGAACTACAACTTCCAGAGCAGAAACTGATCTCATGCTCTTTTATCCCAAGTCCCTTGGAAAGGATTCATTCACCCAGCTGTGTGTCCACTCATAAATCAGTCAACCATGCCCAGGGATGGGGATGGGGTCAGAGTCATAAAAATATATATATATGTATATTTCCATATATATTTTTTCATATATATTTTTCCATATATATATATAGTTATATATATAGTATATATATATAATACTATATATACTAATATATATAATACACTACTATATATATATAGTTTCCATGGAACCATGAGAATAGCAAGAGGGTGGTACCCCCAAATAGAGCTGAGAAGATAATCCCACAGATGAGCAACACAACCGCTCCTGCCTTTGGCTTCAGTGCTTATAACTGGCCTTCCAGCTTCCCTCTTGGCTCTTTTTAAAGGCCTTTATCTCAGATGCTCTTTTCTGTTTCTTCTTATGCTGGTCTGCCTCACTGACATACACAGCCTCTGATGTGATTGCTGGAGATCCAGCTCCACTTGCTTGACCAGTGTCTTAGTACGATGATTCACCCATTTCTTATGATGAACAATTTTTTAAAAATACTTCAGAACATATAACATACTGAGAAAATATGAAAACTAGAATAAATGATGCCATTTATTTGTTTATTCACTTATTCATCAATCATTTGTTTATTAATTAAGCAAGTATTTATTGAGCACTTTAATATGCCGACACTGAGCTAGGTGAGTTATGATTCCTGTGAATATACGGAAAATTTAAACCTCATTTTCATGGTCATTACCACAGGAACAACGTATCTCACTCATTTTAAAATTATAAGTCCTAATTTTGGGCAAGTGGCTGGGAACATAGTCTCACAACTCACTTATTCTTGTGAAGTAATCGTTTAGAACAACTTTTTAATAAATTAATTTGGAAAATATATATCAAGAGTCGTAAAATTGTTTGTATAATTTAACCTAGTGATTTGTACTTAAGGATTTATTCTAAGGGAAAAATGCTCAGAAGATGTTTATTTTACCATTACATTTATTATAAAAACCTAGAAACCACCTGAATGTACAAAAAAAAGGAAATAGTTGAGAAAATTGTGGTATATAAATTAAATGAAATATTTTGCACTTATTAAAATGATATATATGACTATGGACAATGTTTCTAAGTGGCAAAACCAGAATACAAAAAGACCAAGTCACTATGAAGGATATTCTTTTAAATTTGATATATAACCAAAACTGAAAGGCAAACAAAAATAAAAATAGTTGTGTTTACCATTAATATGTTCAATCATAATATGTTTAATCATAATTTCCCCTTAAGTGACATTTTGTGAAATATCAAGTCAAATAATATGTAGGTTTCAAGTATATTAATTTAGTTCAGTTTTGTACCTTTTTACAAAATTGCAACAAATTTTTCTTGGTGTGATAATGCAATTAACCGCTATATTAGAGTAATACGAGCTGCTTTAACAAATTTGTCCCCAAAATTTATATTAGCTTAAGTACGATGAAAGTCTATTTATTGCTCACATACAGCCCAACTCAAGCATTCTGGTTGGTAGGATGATCACAGCCTTTGGGGGCTCAGGCTAATGGCTGCCCTGCCGTCTTCAAGAGGTTCAAGATTGCTTTAGCGGTTGCCATCTCAGTTAGCCATAAAGAGAAAAGACCATGGGGGAATATGA